CTTCCTGGCATGGTTGTACCTTGTGGAACGAAGTTCCAGCCAGTGTAGCCCGCGGGATCATTGCAGCACTCAAGCCCGACCACCACGTCAAGGTTGCAGCTTTAGGTTGCTGTAGGACGCTCAATGAATTTCACCGTGGTAAAAAGTGAGACCACACCGACATCTAGCGCCTACAATCGTTGGCTTTAGGTACGGTTCAAAAAATCCCCAAAGTTTATTTGGGCGATCAAAGAAAGTCGATGGTTGACGCAAAATAGAATGCAGAAAATTGGTCATTTGTTGGGTTACCCGTGGACCATGGACAACAAACAAATGGGGCTGGATGGCAACAATGCCTACGCAAAGAGAAAACAGACCATGCGGGCTGGTATCGATTATGTGGTTACTTTAAAACACATGATAAGATCAGTTATGAACTACAGTGATCTGGTAGTCGAAGGGTTCATTTTCATCCATGACCTGCGTGGTGAATAGGTGATTTGGCCTTGGGAGATGTAGAAGAGAAATCGAAGGGACATGCAATTTAATACGCCAGCCATTTTCGCAAGCAAATTTAAACCCATCGAGCCCAAGTGAAAGCGGTGCAGTGCAAATGGAAACGGAGCCTTGAGATACAGTTTTCGTACTGTGCCTGAAAACACAAGCAGTTCCAGTTAACCGAAATACACTGAAATGAGTAAACTATGAAAAGTGGTGTACCTTGGCCTAGGTACTGAGCAGTATACTAGGTCCTGAGCAGTATACTAAAACATAGTATACTGCTCAGGAGCCCTGCTAACCTAAAGCAACAAGGTCAATAAGTTCGCGCTTTAACCACTGAGTCATCTCGAGTACTAAGTGTCACGGCTGGCCATCGCTCGTCCCCCGGCCCAAACGGCGGGTCTTAGTTCATAGCGAGTATTTCTCACATAGCCAGTTCCGAAGTTGTCAAACTGGAAGTTGACGCCTCGTTGAAGCACAGTATAGGTTGGTTTGTTAGTCTGTAAGCAAAAAGCAGTTGCACGTCGACGATCAGTGCGCGGTTGCTTATCTTCGAAGCGAGTCACGGATGCTATTCGCGGTTTTTCGGCAAAACTCTGCGTTCTATGCACGATCACCTTTTGAAGACGTCCCGCTTGAGAAAACTTACTGAATGGTACTGCTTCCAAAAACCGAGGGTAGATAACGTCTGATCTGTGACAAGCATAGGCAGGAAAGCGGTAAAGGACTATGCGGAAACAACCGGCTTGATTAAAAGAAGCCAAAGATTACTCTGTTGGTCCTACGATGTCTGCACTATTGAGACCAGTTAAAATCGTTCGTTTTGTGGTGTTCTTTGGGATGCAAAACGCACCTCCACTGTGATGCGAGAAAACGTGGAACCAAGGCAACACGTTCGGTTCTAGAAGAGAAGAAATTCATCATTGTTCTGCTTTCGACAGATCGTCTCATAGGAAGGGTTGACCTATTGGTAAACTCCTCTGTGACGTGCTCCCTCAAGACAGAGACAGCTGTATTACAAAAAGGTGGGTAGATCTGGCCGGTCAGCTTTTATACTGCATGAGTGCACTCCCAAGTCTGGGACACTCGACTAGAAAATTCAGAACAGTGTGAGTGTGGGTGCTAGCCGAAAAATAGTGTATCAACCCCAAGAAGCTGGAAGCAGGCCCACTTTTTCCCGTGGTACTCTGTTGGGGGAATTGGTTTGCTAAGCTAGAAAACAGTGTCGAACAAGGGAGACCAAACCAAGCGGTCAAACAGCTGTTTGCATGGTTGCCGAAGGAAACTTATTTTCTATGTTCATAGTAGCAAAAATCCGAGCAGGGAATGCGGACAGGTGAAGGGCACAATTCGCACGGAGACAGCAAACGCTGTAAGACAGGACTAACTGAGCTCACACGTCACATCGAAACCAATCACTCGAACCAGAAGCCCAACCAAACTGCCACTCGTATTCGAAGATTAGTTCCGGCTAGAAACAGGTAGATTAATACACTCCAATCATTACCTTCGTGCAACCATTGATACAGTGTCTTCCTCTGTTATAAAAATCGCATGGATGATATAGCTCCGACGGGTGGTGAATGGCTTCCGGGCAAACTAACTAGATAGTCAAGCATGATACAGGCCAGCGAAATACACTCATTTGCAAACAAATGGAACACGACTGAATCTCCCGTTAATGGTGTTTTTAAGCAACTGAATGTGAGTGCATTTCGCTACTTTCGTGCATTTAAATCACAAATAGAATATAAGGTTTATGGAAACTCGGGTACTGCACCTATCTGATGAGCCCCAAGAAGGGCGAAACCAGTCGTGGTCAGTCGAAGAACTTTTAGCAACCTTATGAGTAGTGCATTACGTAAAACGCAGATCACTTTTCAGCCATTTGGTTAACCCTGGCTTGGCCACGGTCTTGCACGTGCCGGTGTGTCAGCAAGTTTCCGGTTGACCTTTGTGCGTTTGCTACGTTTAGGAGCATGCCTACTAAAAGTTGACTAAATATTGGGGGTCAACGTTGAGTAGTCGTTGTTCCCTTTGAAGACAGCTTCTATCAGAACAACCCAGTATGCATTACACGCCAGTTGGCATCCAAATTGGGGTGGCGGTCAGAGTTGGGCAATCAGTTTCTTGGAACAAAACAGACCGGTTTCATTGATTTTTGTGATGGATAAAAAGGTAATGATTTTTGGTTGTTCTCGTCGTAGGTCGCACCAGTGTCACACAATGAAGACAGCTAGTAGGCAAGGATATATGGTTTGTGTTGTGAAAGTCAGCTCGTGTTTGTGCGAATCACCAAACCGTGCCATTTTTGTCTAACTCGATTTTTTTAAAATCGCTCTGGTACTATAAATTTCGAGAAGCGAGAGTCCCTTCTGACCATAGGCTGTCCAGCTAATACACTTCGTTCACACTAATAGAAGGAGGTCTGATGACCGACAAACGAAAAAGCGGTAAGTGGGCTCATGGGCTGGTCAGAGCCAGCCACTTGTGACTCACATGGGTTCAAGTATGGTACTACTTTAGGTCAAAATAGGCTATCAATTATGGACGTATTACACCACTCATAAGGTTGCTGAACATTTTTCAACAGCGCACGACCGGTTTTGCCCTTCTTGGGGCACATCAGGTAAGCGCAGTCCACAAGTTTCCGTCAAATTTGTGCTCTTCTTGGACCAACTGAGGCATGACGCGGCCTGGTGCAGTACAGACCGTTGCTATTAAACATAAATGAGGGGTTCAACTGAGTTCCAGGTGAGTCACCTGCAGAACCACTTTTCGCAAATGAATGTATTTCTCTGACATCAGTAAAGTAGACCACATAATGTGTAGCCAAATGATCAATATTATTTCAGTGATCAGCTCTCAGCTGCTGATGAGCAACTGCACAAAAAATAAGAAGTATCAGCGGTTGCATCATGGTGCTTTACGGTGCGTTTGCTCCCCTAAACATATAACTTATTGTTATCGATTTGTGGTTCTGGTAGTCTTGACTCGTTCTTGTAGTGCGTTTCCACCACTCATCCGAACTTCCCATTTGCGATTGCTAAAAATTCACACTCTGATTATACAACTATCTATTTGTACTGACTTTCATTGGTCTTATTACTCAGGAATCATGCATACTGTGGTTAAATGCAGCTGCACCCAACCAACAGGTACGCATTTTGACTGACTTTCAGGCAGGTACACCACACGCACAAGATTCAAACGTTTTGACTAACACATCAAACCCGTATCAGTATAGTGCGCAATGTGTTCGTAACATGTATAAATACTACATGAAAAGGCACACGCTTTTGGTTTTGGGCACCTATGTGCGCAGCGATGAATGAAGCCATGCGTGGTGAGTTAAAATATTTGGTAACAAGCTTGCTTAGCTCCCTATCGCAAATAGATTTTCAGTGAGACTCAGGAGAATGTGAATTATTGTTTTTTGTGTGTTAGTGAAGGACCTCATCAGGGGTAACTCCATTCTGTTGAATGCATACCCCAAAAACAAACGTATATGTATTCGTCGAAACTAAAAATCCATGCTCAGCAAAACTGAGGCGAGTGCTGCCGCCTTTCTTTGAAGGGCAGGAGACAAACTGTGGTCTTGCTAGGTACTCAACTGGCAAGCACATTTATAGCTATGAATAAAACATGATACATGGGAGTGAAAACATGCTGTCTGAATTTGTTGAAGCATGAATTTAGTTACTCCAGTAAGTTGGAACTAGTTGGAGAGGAATGATTAATTGGCCAGGACACCATCAATACTTTCAAGTGACGTTTCCGAGTACATTATCTACTAGCAATCACTTCAGTCGCTGAGAGTGTGCTTTACTCGATTACTTTGGAAAATTCGGGCGGCAGTCAATAGATCACGTTGAACGACTCCGCCGGCTTGATATGGTGGTCTGTATCGACTCAATAATTGTGCATGTCAAGTGCTTGTCTTCGAGTGACCTGCTAATGACAAATGCCCAGCCACTCTCTGAGTCAGGCACTTAGTCGTACGACCGACGTAATTTGCGCCACATTCGAAAACACAAGAAAGGCTAGCCAAAGGGACGTAAACCGGTGCCTTTTCCTTACCTTTTGTTATCACCGAAGGAAATCCTAGGCTGCGAAGCACAATGCTTCAGTCTTCAGATAGACGATTCGGTAGTTCTGTTGACTTTGATAGGCAGCTTGATGTCGACAAACAGTTTAGGGTCTAACGAAATTTCTCGGTCGAATCGTTGGGCGTAATTTATTGGTCGCCACTCAATCGCTTTTGGTAATGCGTCAAAATACGTTTTGACAACAACCAGAGCGATCGTAAGTAAATTATATTAACCCCCTTTATGTCACCGTAAAAGTCACGTTCGATAAGATATAACTATAATGCGCGTGAATTTCAACACTTTTGGACGACATTCTAACGCTCGTTCACAGCTATAACTGCACTTGTCAAGTAAGATCCTACCGAAAGCAATTTTTTCCATAATACAACTTTTGGAACGTGGGAGTACCGAAAAACCGCAGCTTGTTTTGTGCCCAGCTCTATCTTAGTATCGCACCTCTAGATTTCGTAAACGTGATGTATTGCTACTCAGTATACCGTATACCAGTAATGGAGAACAACTGTTTTAAGCCCCGTACCAGCTAACAGTTGTTTTTCACTGGGCTTGCCCGGCTAAACACTGCAAGCAATTGTTTCATGGGTTCCAATTCATCAGTCATCTGGCTTATGTCAAATGTTTACTATTGTGATTGGTTAGCGTAATCTCTGTGCAACTGGTTTTGAAAGAAGCAGTTTGCGAGTGATCCCGAGAAACCTTAATTTTCGCCCCTTTGGTTGAGTTTGTTTTCACCCATGGAATTCTTAGCTTTTAGAAAAGTCCTCCATCTAAAACGTACATGTCCATCTAATTGTAATGTTCTTATTGACAAACTCGGTGTCACTTTCTGACCCAGGGGGGCTATTCTGAATTTGTTTGCTGCTGGTGCACTAAATTTTGTGTTGAATCCGACAGAACTACTTATGGATAAATAATCGGCATATCGAAACTACGTCGCCCATATCTGTATAGCTCCAAGCAGTAATCCGATCTGTGCATTCAAATGGCTCTCGATACTACAGTCAGATCAGTAGTGTCCGCTTTCTTTGTAGTTTTAGAGACTTCCGAGTTTGGCCTTCTTCCCCTCCGTTTTTTCCCCGTTTATGTCAGCTGTGCAAAATTTTTACCAGGGATGCCATATCTCGAACTCTGGTAAACTAATATTTACGTACATTACCTTTTCAGAACTAAGGAGGTGGAGATGCACTGCCTTCACATTGTTGTTTGTTGTATTCCTGCTTCTACTCGGATTTAGAATAATAGACGAACCGGTATTCGAATGGAAACCCCTGAAAATGACCGACAACACTGAGCAGAGACATTCACCAATCATATTCGTTGGTGGTGTATCCAGGTCTGGTAAGTGGCCGTTTAAATTACGGACACAATCACCTTGGCCCTCCATTAATTTAACACAGTGAGGTACCGAAACATCAGCTAAATGGGGAGCTTTCATTGTGTATGGTGGTGACTGACCTGAAGAGCATCATATACTCGCTAGACTTAAACCTTAAGTTAATTATTTGGAACAAATTTTCGATGGGTTTTTTGATGCGCTTTTTCTTTAGTTGAGCAGTGAATATTAACCATGCAATGACCATTCACTCCAATTCCATGGGCACCAAAAACTAAAGGTGCCTTGCTTCACCTAACTAAACTTTAAAACGATCCACAAGACAATATAAGTTAACACGCAACGGTAAGAATCAAAGTAATGCTGACCGGTAGAACCCGAAAAAAATAGCAAGTTATTGCGCGTCGTTTATTGGAAATGCATATATTCTTCGTGGCGGGGAATTTTATAGGGTCTTCGGGTTTACAGTAGTAAGGACCACTGCTTCACACTCCATAAACTGGTTAAAGTGATGGAATTTCAAATTACCATTGACTTATGCTCTACTCTGCAACTACTCAGAAAGCTATTCTGTATGATCGTCTGCCATACATTTGTTTTGTTGTGCAGGATGGTTCGAATGCTTCCATTTAGTCTTTAGATCCAACGGTGGCGCCACGTGACTAACTATACGAATAAAATGTCAAATTTCACTTCTTGCTGGTCTTTCCGAGCCTCTAAATACGACTTGGTCACTGAATAACTGAAAGACTTTCGTTCATGTGTGCAGAATGGTCCAATAGTTTAAAAGGACTCAGCAAAAATTGGATTGATGTGCTAAAGGTAGCAGTGAGGATTGTTAAGCAAAAGCAATCATTTCTCAATGACTCTTCCTAAAAGCGATTCATGCCAGTCCCAAATACCGCGGTTTGTTCTTGTCACAAAAACTATCCAGATATGGTTTTTTTCTTTCAGTTTCCGAACACCAAGATAGCCGTTATATTCACAAGCAGACTGCTGAAGGGACTATCAATATCCTGTCCAGTCCTACAGCATTTTGCCTTTGATGCTTTTGAGTTATTGTCACTTAACACCCTCGGTTAGTGGGGAGTACCTGAGAAACAAAGTAATAACTGATGTGCACGTCAACGTACGTGCGCGACTGGGTTTCTGTTGGCGATCATTCAAACTGCAGCCTTGTGCGTTTGGTTTCGGTAGTTACCGGAAAACTTCTGGTGAATCTGAACAGGAAATACTTTAAATAAACCCTGTTGAAGTGTAATTAGAGAGCTGGAGAGTCATTTGGGGTCATATCGTTCCAAGTGAACAGTGCGGTTATAATTAGTTACTAAAACGAACTGAAAGATGTGACTGGAATAAAACATTTGCCAATGTGAGAAGGACGCCTGACACTGATATTGTCACCTCAGTGTCAGCTCAAAAGGTTGGACAGGCGGAGCGACTACAAGAAGACGAAAATCTATTCAAAGATTCCTCTGAGTCATTCTTGAGAGCTGAAATTTCTTTTCAGATGTGGTTATTGAACAATGTATGAGTGAATTCAGAAGACAGATTTTGTTTGACCTGTGGGTGTTTTCTGTATTAGGGATAAGTGTATTTGACTAAATAACTTTATACTGTTGTCGGCCAGTACATGTTTAGCAGTACGATAACGGTATCTTAAAGAGTCCTCATTACTGACCAGGTGTTTGAAAGACGGGGATCAACAAGCATAAATAATTGGTACAAAAATAAGGTCGCGCCTAAGTGACACGGAATGGTCCGGGTATCCGCTGAATTTGCCAGTTTGACAGCGAGATCCCAAAATTTTGTTCCAACTGCTTTTGATAACACAGCAATGGGCCGATTTGCCCTATTGAGATTCACTCGACTATAACTCGCCAACATCCCGAGAACAATGGTGGCGGTCATGAGGATTCTGAATATGACTTGCGACACATCATCAGGGGTAAAGATACAGTATGTGATTAGACTGTGACCCTCATAATGGGTCTACCCCAATCCGACATGAGGGGTACTCTTGTGGCCAACTTGCTTTGTAGGGCGAAATATTCCACCTTATATGAGCACGCAAAAGAATATAAAAGTGCACTCTTTGTGTGAAGTCTGCATTTTGAAGCTGAAATCGACAATGATTTTGTAGTTGACCATGATTATAACGTTGACGTTCGTTGTAAATGGTAGGAAGTGCGACGCTTGACTGTCTACGAGAATGTCGCTGCTGCACGATAGGTTAAGGTGGATCAGTGCTTACCAAACGATAGGTTAAGGTGGATCAGTTACTTACCAACGTTTGCTACATTTGATTCAGCAGCTCTTGGGGATATAGACTTGATTTCGAATGTTTCAAGACAATCACAACAAAGTGCTTCAGATATGTCTAAGTAGGGCAGAAAAGTCCCACATTCAGTTCGTTACGATTTGTGTCGCAGTTTTCCTACCTCAGTTGTACAACGGTTGAGGTCTGTCACTGTGTTCATGATTGTGTATCAAACACTGCTTGATGAAAAACTGTCCGTATATTGGTGCGCAACCAGTGAACCGTGCCAAAATACAAAGCAAATTTGTTGAATAACTCGCTATACACCGAACTCTCCCCAAGAATATGACTACGTGTTTTGCATGTTAACCCAAGATATAGATTTTGCTTATTTCGATTGTTAAACTTCGCTTCAATCCAGTGTTAAACAATGTCCACGTCAAAGTGTGCTGGTTTATCCGAAAATTAAATTCACTTTACATGAATAACTATGAAAGGAATGTATCCAACTGTTGTTACGAGAAGTTGTACGCGTTTTGGAAGTAACTAGCACCGTACAACTATGCGAGAAACTCTGGCGCGCAGGAGGTCAATGTCATTGAAGGGAAGTTTATTAATTCAAACAATGTGACAATATAAATCCAAACACAGAATTAGGCTACCGAGCAAATGCACCAGTAAATCCAATGAACACGGACCTCGTTGTTTGCTGGTGGGGTTCGTGGTCATAAGCAACATCACAAAAGCTACATCTCCGACATTACAAAGTAGCCTGTCCAAGACTCAAGTTGACGTTCTCCGAAATTTTGAGCAATTAGTATAACTTTATCATACGTGTTCAGCTAGGAATACGAATTTAGGGTTAAGATAGAGACAGGTAATCGGCAAAAGAATGTGCTAGATAACCAGAGTCGCTGGGATAATACTTCATCAATGAATAGTGTGCTTGATTGGAAGCTGATGCCACATCAAACTACACACAGTAAATTCCAAGTCCATTCGGAACCGAACTGAGAAAAATAAGGGATTTCTAGGGTGCCTTGAAAACTACTACGAATATCGTGACCTTGGAATGAGAGCCAGAGGAATAAGATCTAACTCGGAGTAAATCCTGTCCACTGACATTCGCTCATCTACAATTGTTAAAGACACGAGAGGACCCTTATAACATTTTGTTCCCATCATGCGTCTAATGAGGAGGCATCGATTCTCTAAGTCTGTGTACTTCCGATTTTACCTCGAAGGAACAACATTGATGCGCGTCCTATTAGATGTGCATCCATGGATCCGTTGTGGACCGGAAGGCATGGTTATAAAGCCCGTACTGGATTTTCGGCACAGCATGCCTCGGTTTCATATGAACTGGTCGCGACAAGCTGGGATCTATCCAACTCTACTTGATTCAGCGATTTCCAAATACATTCGATATATTGTTGAGGAAATGGGACCACCGGCGAATATCTTGTGTTACAAGCGACCGGAGGTGCTTCTCTACACTGAGTACCTGGCAACATTATTCCCCGACTCCAAATTCATAATCATGTTGAGAGATGGACGAGCAGTTGCAGTTTCTAATAAAAGGTTAGTTTTGATCGCACATGAGATGGCAAATGTGTCCTTCCGGTCAACTGGACCAACCTTTGCGCGCTTAAAGTTGACTTGCAGAGTAATTTGGAAAGTGCTTTAAATTTTCATTTGCCGAAAATAAAGATGGATCATTTGGTCATGAGCTTGCAATAGAGTGATAGGTTGTGTTTTTCCTTGGCTGTACCAGTTTGAAAAAGTAGTAGAATAGTTTGAAAGGGTGAAAATCTATCTTGAAAGAACCCACTATCTTTAAAAACTACGCAGTTGAAGAGCAATGAAACAAACTTATCTAAATGTCACGTTTAAAGAAGGTTCGGAGTTGATTGTGAACCTCACCGCACTTGACAGCACTTGGTTAAATTTCCCTGAGGCTCCGTAAACATAAAGGATTTGATAAATTTCAAGCCAGTGTGTCATGGACTTGAAAATGACTGTTACAAAAGCACAAAGAATGGAACTCATCGTGCTAGTTGCAGAATTGGTAATGCGTGCTATTGGCGGACAAAGCGGTCCAACTGAAAGCCTTTGTACCTCTTCTTACTGCACACCTGAGGGGTCCACCGTAACCCTGGGTACAAGCAGAATTTATGAGATTTTGCACAAGTTTTGTCGTAAACGTCACAGTATGTTCAAATATACCACACAGACCCTTATAAGTGATTCTAATTTGGGCAACTAAAGTTGCAATTCCTCAAACAAAACGTATAACTTTGACTAGGTTCTCTATTTTGCACAATAACCACCGTATAAAAGCACTTATCAACTCTGATTGGGTTGATAATTGCTCATGTATGTGACAGGACTACTGTCCCATTGAGTCTCCAAGACCACCTCAGATTCAGTATATACTGACTTCTCTCATTGGTTTACTGGGCGGAATCATTGGTGGTTGCTTACAGCCCTGCTACATATTTTGAGAGAGTGCAAAATGACAATTACTTTAAAATAAATACTCGTCAATATGCTATACAGCATTTGCCAGGTACATGCACATAATATTCTTCTGAGATTACTTCTTGGCACTGAAATTATCGAAGTCACCGGAGCCATTGTTTCAAGCTTGACATTAGGCTTCAGGATATACGATAAGCAGAAAAAATATGGGGTATTTTGTGGCGGTCGAGTCACCAAGTTGATCATCCCACAGAAAACAGAAGCACTAAAGCTAGGGAACATATGTTCGAACCAAATACGTCATAATGAAGGACACTTGCAAGTTTGCAGATACTTAATGCAATAAATAGAGTGGTTGGCACATTCCCCTTGTTATTCTTTTTACCTGTGCAACATTTTATGCTAGGCTCTAGCGGCCATATTGATGAGTTGAATAAACAAAAGGAACTGGCGGCAAAATTTGTTGGACAATAGATGAAGCAGTTCCGATTCATCGTATTGCATCGAGTTTGGGTAACCGAAGATGTGCACTAGGACCACCAAAGTTCCACACTACTGAACACATTGCGGCGTGAAGAAGAACCCGCGCCTTTCCTCCTTCTGTGCCACCTTCATTCACGTGTTTTTTTCTAGATGTGTTTCCCTGCAGAAGGAAGAACCCCTTGCTTTTAAGGACGAGTGATACTTTGAACAATGTCGACTATTAATTGGAAATTTAGTGTTATTTACCTCGCGCTTGATCTCAAACTAGTGTTGGGTCGCTGAAAGTAACTAATTGCAGCAGGTTTCATGCAGAATGAACAAACTAGCGTAAATCTACCATATAGTTTCCATGCAAACAAAGCACGGCCATGCCTACGTCAGGCAAAAATGAACGGGTTACATAAAAGCATCAACAATGACATTTCACAGTATCGACTTTATGCTCTCCACAATTGAGCGTAGCTTCCTTTTTGCGTACGTGCGACTAATCGGCTGGAGTACATTACGTCTAAAGTATCATTTATATCTGTCAATTTAAGTCATTTTGCAAGTGGTCAATACAGGATAATAAACTGAGAATTAGCAAACAATTGAAGAATTACAGTCACCTCAAAAGAATGCTTGGAATATCTGTCATAAGTGATTACAATTTAAAAGAGTAAATTATCAAATAGGTTCTGACTAGTTAATAAGTCAAATATGGTTAGATTCCATGGAGATTTTTTTCAACAGTACAAGCAACTTCTTGATAGAAATCATTTCAACTGTGACGTGGCTTTAGGTTCTTACGGAAATTATATGAAATCCATACGTATTCCTTGAGGTGGCAAGTTATCTTCATAGTGGGCGACTGCAGGCGATAGGCCTACAGAAGTCTGTGCTTGATATGACGGAGATGATTGGGAAAAAGGCTTCAGGGGATTAGAATAAGGCTACTTTCCGGCTAAAGGTGTATACGCTCGCTTTTTTTATACGTTGCAAATACCTATATTCCTAACGTCAGCAAATGCCTAGAAAAGACGTCCAGTGTTCACAAAAAGCTGTGTAATAAAGGAAAGAGACCAGTATTTTGTAGGGTCTGTGCCGGTTTATGTGGTGTCCTCATGTTTCTCCAAAGTAAATCACTTTTTTAAATAGCTTATTTAAGACTTCCGACGAAGCCCCACTCTATGTGTACGACCTACATAAGCCAACGAATGTATGTGTATCCTAAGGCCAGCTTCTCCACAAAGGCTTCATTAACTATACCTTTTCATTGCCCTCAGAACTTGCCCCATGCAAATTGTAGTTATTTTTTTTGAAAACGCCAAAATTCAGAGAAATTTTCTTCAAGATTTTGTGGGGTTTGGCAGACACAAAAGTGACAACACTGTGGAAAACTTTTACAAAATGATATGTAGCTATGTGTATGTATGTATGTATACGTATGCATATTTGCAGACACAATGATGAAATCCTCGACGAGTGATGATCCTGTTCATTTGTTCTGGACACGAACTTGAGTAGCTAAATTTATGGAGACTACATATAAACAGTAATACTAAAAGCACTACAACCATTCATAAATGTAAATTTCCCATTTCTCTATTATATACCGGGTTCTGCTAAAAACAAATAGTGTTCTGACCAAATACGACAGTGAAACGTGTTCTCATCTGTTTTTGTTGCCAATGTAGGTGATCATAACGTTCCGATCAAATTTAATTTTCATGAGTGGAAGATTTACTGATGATATTTCTTAAATGGAGACAAGTCTTTGTCAAGCCAACCAACCGATAAAAGGAAAAAGTCCACAGTTTGCAGATGAAGGATATGGATACTATTGTTTTTTGTTTGTTATCTGTTGCAGAAGGAAACTATCTGTTTTTCGTTAACCTGAGAACCTATAAGAAGACCTACTACTGAGGCGAATACAGAATCGGGTTAGACGTACTTTTCGGGGCACAGGTTGAGATAAATTGCTCCTCCTGGTTGCGCAATTTCGAAACTCTGATTACCTCTAGTTTCAGTTAAGAAGACACTGTGGACCGACTAATGTTACCTAAACTAACAATAGCTACGTACACCTGAATGGAATTGCGTAGTTAAGTCTCTCTGTTTAAAGTCACCTTGTGATTAAATCTTGCTTGATAGTGAGGTTCTTCTGTCTGCTTAATCAGTGTGTCGGACTGGGTCAGGCATTCTCCACAAAAGAATCACCAAATAACTGATGCAGCAGACTACCGCACTGACCGCTGCATAATATAAGCGTAACTAAGGAAACCCTCAAAGCAACCCGAGAAGGAGGCGCGGCGACAACCGGGCAATCAGACTGCGGTGGCAAGTTACGGACGTGAGACCATAAACTCAATTTAAGATCATCCTTCTTTAACTCCACATTTTAGTAGAACGGTTGATGACTGTATCGCGCAGACTACTGAGAACTCATCATCTAAGATCGAAATTAAAGAAGATACTATACATTGGACAACATTGACCTTCTACTACACTGTATTGTCCACTTTTACTGGTTCATTCGACTTTTTAGGTTTAAGCGAAACACAACGGAAAAAATGCACAATGTTTTGAACAGATGGATGTTGGAAAACATCAATCTTACTAGAGCATGTCAAAATGTGGGCCCCAAACGATGCCTTATTGTTCGCTACGAATTACTTATACTCAATCCGGAACGTGAACTAAAATTGGTGACAAGTAAGTGCACTGGTGTGATGGATCGTCTCATTTGTGGGGCAGGATGTTCATTGGCTGAAGCAAACAAGAGAAACTTCAATTGCTCATCCCATCTCCTGCTGTGATTATCACATGCAAATCGTTTCACCCTTTGATTCAATAGAAAGGACACGTTAGATAGCTTTTCTGCTATGAGAATTAGCATTTTCTATGAAGTATTTGGCGTCCAAACATAGGAAATGCTGATTGCCTCAAATAATACGCTTAATGAAGTTCACGAAGCAACTCATTTGCAATTTGTCGTGGTTAAGGTGTAGAAGATTTCAGGTTTTCCTTAACTAGTTCATATACGAACATAAAACAGGAGACCTAGTGTTTTGTTTTAACTGCATCCGTAAATCTGGAGATTTCTGTCCCAAAAATAAAGCGGTGAACGATTTATTAAACTGGTACAATGCCTTTGTCACCTCAATATTCACATAGCATTATTTGACGATCGTGGTTTTATCCTGAGGCATTTATTCCGGTCAATTACTACCGAATAGATAAACATGGGTTTCGGTCTTACTGAGGATTTGTCGTGGGTTTTTAAACTGACCACGCTTTGTGCAGCCAGGATGATACCAATACTGTTCTGCTTCCCGCTGGTTGTGTGAAAATTTCCTTTTTTACCTGAATGTAGAGATTTTCTGTTAAGTCGTTGTGCCTGGCCATCGTAGCACACTAGGACCTGTCGGGGCTTCGAACACTGAAAAATTTTTCCCTACTGGAGAATCCGGACTCGTCTACCAAGCTGGTAATATTCAGCCAAGAAACCACTTTGGGCTTTAGGCTTCGGAATCCCGGATTCACCGGTCAACGTCAAACGGACTGGGACGGTAGAGCTGTTGGTTAACCCATTGGTTTTCACAGTCAGGCAGTCTGGCAACTGATAACGAATCATATTCTCATTCTGGCTAGTAGTCTATCTTTACAAATGCCTTGTTGGACCCTTGAAGTTGTCCCGGATTCTGGGTCGTTCGTGTCTCATACTAAAGCCATTTCCGTCACGACGCTCACATGCAAGTACACAGTGCCAGGCAACAGGGTTAATAAAGCTGTTTGATCAGTAAAACTACAAACGCCCAAAAGAAGTGAGGGAAAACGGTGCTTGTCGGATTTCTTGGGCTTGTTCCCCCAAAAACCCTCTATTGATTTTGGCATTGTTCCATTCCACGTCTCCTTGATAGGAACTATCAAAAATTATGTCTACCCATTCTCCGAAGAGATTAACTGCTAACCGAGGATTACCGATGTAATAATATTGTATCTATTGAATATTTTCCACCAGGCATGACTGCTAGATTATCAGACTGGTATCATTGGTTTATTCGGGAACCATCATAACCTGTGTTGCCTTAGACAGTTGGCGAAAGTGTGTGCACCACCATTACTTTGTGCATTTCGACAAAGACAAGACGCAGCGAATGTAAATGAAGTGCTGCAATTGATAAGAAAATCCATAGAAGAGACTGCATGTAACCTGTACCACCCAAAATTCAATTCACTCATTATAAGGTGTATTTTTCTAACCTCAGGTTTTCGAGGTTTCTGTTTCAATGATCCTCCAGAATAGCGAAAATCACCAAATAATCCATCTGTCGAACGCTCTTCTGAGCGCTGCATTATTTCTAGAGGGAATAATACTTTAAGATTTATAACTAAGCTTGATCCTTTACGAAACAAGATGTGGTGCGAGGCTCTAGAGTTTAAGCCGCTGACTAATGTGGGGGCATCCATTCTAGAGTGGGTTAGTGTAAAATACGTGCGCGTTTTCGATCAGTAAAGCCGAGCTTGCTGCAAATGCGATGCATCGGGACTGCAAGTGTTCATTCCTGTTGAATAGGTGTTGGACAAAACTGACTCATAGGTTTAGTATAGAACATTTTCTGTCGGCTTTATTTGTGGTAATCAACCATAATTCACTTCCAACTTGACTATATAAGTCCCGAAGTTCACTCTTTCTCGCTACTCACATCTGTCCACTTTGACGAAAAGCGCGTGTGCTTCTCGTAAACTTTACGGAGGGCTTACGTCTAGAGTTCTCGTTGACATACAGACCTTAACAAGAGCTGAAAAGTGATAAGCTGTCGATAGAATCGGTCTCCTGAGGTAAATTCTGTCCTACATTGGAGTCACTCTCGGGCAGATCGAGCGGGTTCGAGAGAGCACGAACATAATTTGTGAGCGAATCTGACAGGACTTAACGTAATACACTTGGCCAAAATCTGGTTCTTCATAAATTTATGGAGATTGTATCGTGCGCAGCTGACAGGTGAGTACAACAGAACCCATTATGTGAATACATTTCAGGATTTCTAGATATTCCATGGGATCCCGTGATGCTTCACCATGAGGAGCTCCTCAGAAATCGGCCGTCGATAAATCCGTGAGTGAACCATTAGAATTTTATGCTAAATACTTTCTCCCACCGTTAATCGCAACTCTGTGTTTGATTTTGCAAATGTCGTTGTCGAAAACGCTAACCCTGTTGAAAACGCTACCAGCAGATCGAATAGCACTAACTTAGTACCTGAAAGATAGGTGGCACTGCACCGCACCAACGTGTATGCTATCCACACCACACACCGTGAGTGAACTGCAGAGAGATCAGCCGACTACTTGGAAGCTGTCAGGTTCTAATCCCCATAAAGTTTCAAAAAGAATAAACCAGCTTCACATTCCTTCGCTGGCGGGGTGGAATAAGAATACGCTGGTGCAATATCTTCCAAAAGCCTGGAGTTCAACAACCCATCTCAGATTAATTTTGTCGCCCAGATACTCAGTCTGGTTTGCACCATGCGGTAGTTACTGCCGAATTATTGGGACAGTGAGCATAAATATGCTGATAGGTGATTGTTGCCAGTTGACATCTTTCCATGTCAAAAGCGCTCGCATCAACAGAGGAGGAACGGGGAGCTGCTGGTACGCACAGTGTTAACCTCCCACTATGAGCAGCAAGGTCACGTCCTTTTTCATCTTATCCAGTTCATTTGCATAACGACCCGGTTGTAAGCGTTGGCCTGGCATGCATGACAAACGTATGTATACACCATGGAAACTTTCGCCGGCGCCTGTGTTCACAAAGGACAACTACTGAGAAGCAGAATCAAATCAAATGTGGACAGCGACAGCCAGCCCATATTTAGTCACAGTGGGATATAAGCAACGCTAAACACAGTCCGTACCTCACTTCTTTTTTTGACGAATCGCTCCAACTAAGTACATAGGGCAAAGGCCATCGCAGGATTCACTTAGGTTGTTGTCCGGGAAATCGGAGTATATTTACGTTATGATACATAATATGATTACAGTATAGGATGCTATATATCTATGAAGTTATATACGATATATATGCGACACAATGCTATATGTATTACAAATTACATTATATTTGCTATCTTTACTCCTGAAGACCACTTTTGAAAACTGATCGCCTATTTCCCCACGTGTGGATCAACCTAGCTTCTTTATTCTAATAAGTATTTCTTTTCGCTTGAACAAACAATGTAGCACTCTTTTCCACTCGCTTATGTCACCTCTAGCGCTCGTCCCTATTCAGCATGGTGTTTCGGTTGGACCTGAAATCGGTAATTCTCGACATTGACGTGGGAAACTGCGGAGCACGCTTTTAACGTGGCCATGTCATCGTTTTCAGTTTACCTACTTATGCGATCTACCACATACGCTTGATAAGAAGGCGCGAGACACGAGCCGAATCCGGGGTAGCATGCGAAAGTGCCCTATATTCCATCTTCAGTGCCCACTGGCGAAGGGTGTTTCAGATATCTCGATTACTAGATGAACCAACCCAAAGCCGAACAGAGATCATTGAGGATACAAAGCAGATGCTGGTGTAACTACACCGGGCATCATCAATGTAGCAATGGAAAGGACGTCTCATTGGCTGCATCGTTCTGCACGGACGTGAGAATAGTCGGAATATACGTTAATCTCTCTTGCGACTCACAAACTTCTATGACGTTGGTCAGGATGCCAAATTATTAAACAGTATAGCATCACATGCTTCTAATCCTGACCAGAAACGAACAGTCCTAATGCAATAATGTTGATATGTCCTTTGAGACACACCTCCTTGGGTGCAACTAGTTGGCTGTCGTGAATACAGACTCAGATTGCATTGCTATTTTCCGTCACGCTCCATCAATTTTATTGATGCCATGTTAGTGTCGACAACTGAATATAGCCGCGATAAATTAGTTCTCGTAGTCAGCGTGCGCACGTTTATGTTCTAACTACCAATCGAAATTTGCAAACTAATTTCCCATGTCTCGTATGGTCGAACAACACTCTTGTGTATATTACGCGGAATAGTGGACAAGCATAATTGAAAAGCGACTAATTTTTGTCCAAATAATCTATCTTCCGAAATCTATTCAATTCCTTGGTCTCTGATCCAGTACACTACGTGGTTTACATTCCTGTAAAGGCAAACTAGGGATTGGAATTGTTAGATTATCTACTTTGAGTGTGGAACGAGTATGGCTTAACTTGCTTATTTTCATCACACTCGATCCCATCCACTTTGGCAGCCATGAAGCTGAATTGCGCTAGAATTAATTGCTGGGCGCATTAATACAGTTGGAAAAAGCCAATCGGACTCCGTTATTCGTCGACCTGGTGCGGATCACAACTTTCATCGAAATAACAACTGGTAATAAACCGTCGTTTATCCGAAGTCTTTATACGGAGATCTGTCTAGCAGTTTTAGAACCTGGCTAAATTGAACCATTCAGGACCACCTCAATCTCGCACTGGTAAAACTGGTAAAACTGTTTTACCCTCCGATGGAGATTAAATTCTATAGCAAAACTTTAGGCACTTTCGAGAACATGGTGGAGACCATGACGCTTTGATTGGGTCTCCGGAGACCAAAAAACGAACGACATTGTCTTTCAAATCAGCTTTGAGGACTAAAGTGGGTTGTGGATGAGTTGCAAAACATTAAATAACACTTCAGTCATGTCAGGCTCCAAAATGTGCTTCAAGAGGACTCAAACGTCGATAGATTGTTAAGAAGGAGTAATCGTGCATCTAAGTCAAAGTGAAAATCTATCCGGGATTCCCAGTATAACACGGATGTAATTCAATTGCTTAGGAACATCAGAAAGGATTCACCTGGGTTTCGGATGAGTCTACCGTCATAAGTGAATTGGTATGCAGATGAATGTATAAGTCAAATGGGTGTAACTCTTTTTTTCATTAACCTTATTCTTTAGCTGTTATCATTGAATTCACTTAGCTTATTTCATTTATTGTCCATAGCCACATACACCACTGCGAGCAATAATAGAATATTTCATTGCCATAAACCTGTCATAGGTGTTGTTGAATAACAATGTACTAAATCTTCCAACATTTTGTTTTTCAACTCAAATGACAGGTACGAACCAAGTACGTCCCAGGTGAAGGAAAAGATCAACAACGAAGCACTAGCTAGATGGTTCACAGACACAGACAATGACACCAAAATTTTCGTAAAGGAAGCACCACAGAAGTGTTTTTTACTAAAGGCTTTTGGCTACTTGAATATTGGGGTGCCACCGGATTACTCGAAGCTTCCAAGAGACCTACCGGATGTTTCACGCTTTAAACCGCCAAAAGAATCCAAAGTTTCCAAGCGCTTAGACAAGCGACCTTGATCTCAAGGTTTTGTTGTGTGAATAGCAGATATGTTGTTCCAGACCTGACTTTTCTCATACCGAACTATGATATCGTATTTTTGGCACTGAAAAGCTCATTGTTTGAGAATGAATTCGGCCTAATAAGCTGCTGAATGATATAAACAACCACTGGACAGCTTGTAAATGGTCAAGATGCTTTACCTGATAAGTCTTGTGCGGCTAGTTTTTTTTTAGTTCCGACCACAGTTCCACTTCAAATCATGTTATTCCTTTGATACAACGCACTCCTTATGAGCATAATTTCATTCGGCTACCTTCGTGTTTCATAGATGAGTAGACCAATAAATATGTAAAACCGCATGAGTTCTCATTATCTGGGATGAGAATACCGCTTTATCTACCTGATACCGATAGTTTCTCCTTGACTCGGGGTTTGTTTTGTGAGTCTTTCTGTTAGAATTTCCGTACACAAACCCGTATCTTGACTGTGCAGCAGAACTGCCCACAACAATCTACTTTTCGATGATTTCGCTAACTCTGAATGCGATTCCAGTTTTAGTGACCTGTGCCTCAATATACCATCAGGCAATTCATTTTGTACGCTTAATGTGACTGTTCTGCTGTCTATCTTCACTGGCGTAGTTTTCACTGCACAAACAGCTACTTCCATCATTTTGTTTCAAACTGTCTTAACTAAATTATTCGTTCCCGATTTTGTATCCGAAAAGCACTGGAGCGAAGTGCAGCGATTTTTTTTCTAGGACTGACTTCTATTCGTTATCCAGCTCCAAAAGCAGTCTAGAACTGTTCATCACAAAGGATCTTATTTCATATAAAGTAGCTTATACGGATCCTGCCAGTGCTAACTTGCTGATTTGTTCCTTAGGCTGGTTGGTTAAAAAATCGACGGAGGCGACCTGCGAACGCCAATGGACAGCAAATCTGGGACGAAAATTAAGAATTAATGTGTACTGTTGTAAAGATGACCTTGTTTGACCTTTCGATACTTCCCTGATTGTCGCAATATTTGAGGACAGCAAGTGACAATCGCTACCTTTAAACTAATTACACGTTTTGCTCCAGTAAACCACTGCACACTGAGAACATCCCAAGTTCTGTCTTACAGCCTGCTGTACAGGAAAAATCTGCGGGAGTAATAATGCTGTCGGTGACTTCCCCTCTGAGATTTAGAGTTTCACCCTTATATGGATACTATAAACCAAGACTATCCAAACTAATAATCGTGTTGCTAGATCTGAACGGTGACAACTCGCCACCAAGACCCTGGTCTGGGGGCGCACATTGAGCTCAGCAAATTTAGTCATACTCCACTTTCTGATGGCTGCACTAAATAATACTGTTTTAACCTGCTAAAGGCACCAGCGATACTCGTGATAAATGTGAGGGTTGCGAAAAAGATTTGTCACCTGCGGTTGATCCTCTTGACTACTACATCACAACGGAACTCACATGCACAGCTGAGCGCTTTTGTAGATACATACATGGAAACAGGGAATGGAGTGCAAACGTTATTAGATTAACAGAGTTAACCTTGTTGCTGTCAAACAAGGACACCACTCAGTTCCAGGTGAGTATACCGTTAAAACCATATTGGTACGCAGATGAGCGTACAAGTCAAATTTCGTGCGATTTGAAAACTCGAGGGCTCCGCCTACCTGATAAGCTAATCTCAAGATGGGTGAAACCGGCTGTGGGTTTTCGAAGTGATTTCAGTAACCTTATGAACAATGTATTGCATCTATATAGTGTCACACGTATAATGACAAGCAAGTTCGCGGAAAAGAAGCACTCGTCGGTCAGCTCACACTGTGGACTATTGAAAGGGTATTCGTGAGAAGAGATGCGGGTACCGTAACGGATATCTGACCGACAGTAGTCTTGATCGCACCAGCGGCAGTTGGTATAGGAGTTGGAAGGCATACTTTTTGTTGAGTTGTTAGGCGGACTGGAAGGTGTCGTTCAAACCGTGGGTGGACATCCAGCTTCTAATTGGTAACCAGCTTTGAATCAAGGATAGACAAGTTGGTTACAAGCTACTTGCCCTTTGGCATTCATAGGCATGCAGCTTTTCCTGCTTAACGTAAGCTCGGTGAGCCACCCGCATCTACAGTTTGAGCGGCTCGGCTGACAACGTCATTTCAGTCTTCGAGTTCGTCCACAAGGCGACCTATTGGAAAATGTGAAGCAGAAGTGTAAGTCTCGATAAAACCTTCGGCTCCGAGCGCAGAAGGACCATGAAAGCACCACAAACCTCCGTGGCATTAGTTCCTCGGGTCGTCAAACACTATAGACTACTTGCTTGGTAGCACAGGTATCTCGACCACAGCTGACACGGGAGTGCATCTAGATGCGGATTTACGGAAATGGATAATCATGGAAATGGGTAACCCGATTTCGCAAGTCGGTGTTCCGCAAACCCGGTAGGTAAGATAATACCCCAAAGTAAAACCGCGTGTTCTGGAATCAGACGAGGTGGATGGGTCGAAGGTCAAGTTTTGGGACTGCTCCAGTCTTCTATGGCATCGGTACACCGGGTAATTCGTCCTGTGTGGAAATTATGACTGGGCGTTTCAGTAGTGCGAGAATAAGGAGGACCGTACGGTTGCTTTCTTTGGACCAGAGTTGATGGACTTGCATGTTATATTAGGTGAATGGCGCGATGGAAAATGGGGAAAGGCAGACGGTCAACTAAAAATGAGGAGATGGGGAGAAATAAAGGAACTTGTTGTCCTGATGTGGATCCAAGACTTAGATGTGAGAGGTGATGTGCGAGGAATGTTTTTTTAACTGTCAACACGCTTGCGTAATTTGAGATGTGATAGGTGAATATGCTAGTATGTGACGTTCGAGATTTAAAGAACCAGAAATTACGCGTGCCATGACCTCAGGACGTGCGTTTATTTTAAGCGAGGAACCAATGAAATTTCGAAGCATTAGTCAGAGTAGCCAAAGAGAAAACTAGAACTCTTACCGTAGGTGAATATCAAACCCTGGGTGCGAAGTGCAACAACTGCCATTTCTGAACGGAGAACGACTAAGGATGAGGGTAGCGTACACTTAAGCGGATAGAAAAGAAAAATTATCACTTAGTTTTTCAAAAGATGGTGCAGACTTAATAGATAAAATAGATAGATGAAGTAGTCGACTACCCGTATGGGCCATCGGACTTAGATCGCACAAGTTCCTTCATAGGGGCTGGGGAAACCAGGCACTCGGTGGATGAAAATCGGCTTATCTGTGAGTGTGAAGGTTCTTGTCGCTCAGTACCTTTGGGAGCATAAAGGCACTTGCCTAAGCCAGTCATTTTCAATGGCAACATTTCTATCCATGGAACCTCCTTTAAGAGTTCCAAATGACACTTTCTGGTCCTTGACACGAGTTGCGAAGTGTTCTCCTGATGTGATTCTTAAACCGCTGTTTGGGAACTGAAATGCAGAGATGTTGCATGTCGTGGATTCTATCGGTTTTAGTTGCCGCGACTACTCACAGTAGGTTGCCATAGTGAGAAAATACTTAGCGGCCCGCACATTTGACAGTAATCGTCTATCAACTCCGCGGGCGAAACACTTGCGGGCTTGGTGCCAAAATGTGAAATCAACAGGTGTTACAGTCTGTTTGGGGTTACTATCTCAATTTGTCGATGAAAGCACTCAGTCAGTTCGTTAACTGCTTAGTTGTAACAGAAAATGGCCTAAAACTCCGCTGTTCACTGGGCTCTCAAAGGTAATTTTGAAGCGTAGGCCAATTATCTGTGGTCATCATGGTTAAACAACCGAAATGAGCTAGTGTGTACCCATATTGGAGGGAAGGGGCGTTATGATACCCTGTTACTCAGAAAAAGCCTAGGGCAAGTTAGGTGTTAAATGACACAGAAATAATGAGAATGTTTATTCGACTTCGAAAACTGTCCAAAGTAGCGGATGATGTGGCCTGAAAATGTTGTTTGGAAATTCCTATTCATCTTAGGAGATACGAAATGGCTGGTGGGCACTTATAGCAGGGCAAGATAGGCCACAAATTGCGTCAAAAATTACTCTGCAAAAGAGTGTAAGACGCGCGGGGTGACGCATGTCCTGCGTTATGCGAACGTTATATCATGTAACATTATCGAACGCCCTGAGCGCTAAGTGAGGTATTTGAGTGTGGCTCCTCTAGACTGAAGTTATAGGTTAGCTCTGGCTTCTTAATCGAGCAATGTTTGGCCCGTCACAGTACGGATTCGAAAGAGGGAACCAGCTAACTTGGATTATAAAACTGAAGCATGTGGCATACCAACCGCAGACCGCCTAATAAAGTGTGCATGTGTTGGCCTAACACACTACTCATAAGCTTGCTGAAGATTACTTGATAGCCATCGACCGGTTTTCCCCTGATAGGTGCCATTCATGAGTTCCCGTCAACCTTATATTCAGACTGAATGCAAATTTGGCGGAATGGTGAAACCGGTGATAAGAGACACTTATTCGCACTGCTACACAAAGTTCATCAAGATATTTTTTATCATTAGCTTTAATCAAACAACCAGGTAACGCAGTCAAACTTCTGTCAGTTGAGAAAATTTGAGGATGCGCACTTCACCAGCGGTGTAGTCTACAGATGCAATTAATACGGCCCAGTCCTTGGGTTTTTAAAAGGTAGTAAAACGTGATGGTCTGTATATCATTGGGATCCATTTAGAGCTCCGTAGAGTAAGCAGGCCTTTTAAACCACTAGAATGTAAGAAAAGCTTTGTTGCTTGATTTTCTTGTGTAGTTTGCTTGCCTTTTCTGTAGATAGCGGCTCAGGGCTGCTTGCATTGGAATAGTTAAGTACTTTCTTCCCGTAATAAGCTTAAATTGCAGGTTTTGGGTTTGAAATATTCAGTTTCACATCAATCCAGTTTGAAGAATCCTCCTACTGCCCTGGCGTCATTATTTTTGTTGGATCCACAGCGGAGGAAATGGTACTTGACTTTAGATTTGCTTTCATTAGAATTCGTCGGCAGTATGTAACCT